CGAGTTTGGTGTCAAGCGTTTCTAGACCCGAACTCCATTGCATCAGCTGACGCTGGCACGGGCACTCAGCAACCCACCCGATCGAGTTGAGCGCACCTTGCGAGAATTTTGCGGTAGTGGGGGGGGGTCGGAATGATCTGTAATCGTATCCCCTTATATAGGCGCTGTATATGAGCATGGTCTACGGGACCCAACACCCAGTTCTAATTAAGCAGGCGCCTGCATTCAATAAATAAACCCATCTCATAACTCGTGCAGAACCTTTTTTGAAGGAACTCAATACATTAACCCCTTATAGTAGCCCTTACAGAATCCCTTTAAAGGATCTGTTAGTGGATCATTCTGGCCCCCATCCAACTCGAACCGGAATCACACGGTGCCTAGCCATCCGGCTGGTCAAGCCCCCAGCCCGCAGTCGAAAGTTATGGGAGTGCAGGGGGGTTTAGGGTTTAGGGTTTAAGGTTTAGGGTTTAGGGTTTTGGGTTTTGGGTTCAGGGGGTAGCTGAGGTGTTCGCGCTTGGGTTGTTTCGCTTGCCTTTCCTTATTTGGAGTTTCGGGGTTCGCGCTTCGGCTGTTTTGTTTGTTCCATTTCTGTTCGGGACAATACGTGGTTTACAGCGAGCAGCAGCGTTTTTGCTTTTGTTGGTTCGGGGTGTTCGAGATGTAGGATTCAGGGCATAGGTCCAACCGGGCAGTATACGGGTGCTCAGATTTCGGTTTAGGATGTAGAGGTTGTTCAAGTACTTTACCGGATTTATGTTGATCAGTTGCAGCTTTTTCTGATTTCGGGTGACATGTTTTGCGGCATTCCGTTCAACGTCTTGTATGTTTGCTTTTCAACCTGTAAGCTTCTTGAGGGATCGGGAGTCTATCGGGTTAAGCCTGCAATGTAGAGTTAGGGTGTTGAATGAACCTGAAACGCCACGTTTGAGTTGTGCTGGGCCGGGAGTGTGATCAGGGGGCCACTCGCACCGGACTGGCAATCAAGAGCTTTTCTATGTGGCATTCTGTGCTCGGCAGGCCTACAAGAACCGTTTGAGCCAGTTCAACTGCATGCTGCTGCCGGATTCCAAACTTCGAGATGCGGGTGAGTATGGGTATGGTTTAGGGTTGAGGGCTAAGGGCTAGAGCCTCACTATAAGCCCTACAGGACCCAGATAAAACTTCGCGGCTTCGTGCGCGGTATCAGAGGCTTTCGGCTCTTTGGGCCGACAAAGCCGTTCAACTAGTTGTGGAACACAGCCCTGAACCGATAAAACCAAAACGAAAAGCCCTTGGGTCTAACGCCTTTAGCACGGGTTTATAGAGTCCTGTGGTCGGAACCGAGACAAAGCCACCGAGCCTCAGAAAGTTGCGAACCTCTACCAAAGTCTTTCGGTGCTTTTGGGTTGTGGCCCCTAAACCCTATAACCCTAAACCCCTAAACCCGTAAACCCTAAACCCAATGGTCCATAACCCTAAACCCTATAACCCTATAACCTAATCCCTATAGCCTATAACCCTACGCCCTAAACCCTTTCGGGCTTAGGGTTTCAGCTTTCAGACTCCGAGGGCCTTCATAGTCTGTGACTTCGGTGGGTCTATGACTCCATGAGTGCGGGGACTTTGTCAGGGTTTATAGAGTTCGGAAAGTTTCGGGTTTAGGGTTTTAGGGTTTAGGGTTTAGGGTTTAAAAACCCTAAACCTTTAGGGGTTTGGGTTTAGAGTCTCTTCGAGGGGCTGAAGAGGGGCAGGGCAGACAAAATCGGCCCCGAGGTTCACATAGGGCGGTTTAAGGTTTAAGGTTTAGGATTTAGGGTTTAGGGTTTAGGGCCCCGAGAAGGCGTGTCACGAAAGCCCGAACCGAAGCACAAATCTTAAAGTCTTCAATGTTACGGGGTTTAGGGTTTGCGGTTTTTGGTCTGGAACGCTATGAAACCCTTCTTGCATGATTTTCGGAGGGTGGTAGCTTCGGCAGCAGCCACAGCTCTTGCTGTGAGATCGGATGCAAATAAACATTTCAGCTGCTCTTTTTCCTGTGAGCCGTGGATGCGGAACATGTGAGCAGTGTAGCAGCTATAAACCCTATGGACTCCTGAACCCTGAGCCTGCCCAATCCTAATCTAGTGTTGCTTACAAGGCTGAGGACTCCTTCTTACATTGTATGATAAGATGCCCTGCCTTTGCAAAACCCCCATGGACACCCCTATAGTAACCCTGAAAGGAAACCTTATTCTAGCTATTAAGGTGCCGACATTCCAAGTTCGAAGCTTGAAGCTTGCACAGGGCTATGCATCAAAGACTTGCGAGCCAGGGCTTAGGGCTTAGGGTGAGACTGGATTTCGGTTTAGTCCGAGGGTTATAACGCATACACATGTATGGGGAGAGAGGGGCAGAGAGAGAGAGAGAGAGTGACAGAGACAGATGATCTTATCAAGTTTGATGCTTGTTGCAGTCCTATGTCCTTTGGGGTTACCATGCAATATTGACAGTAGCTTATAATGATGACTAAACTCCCAGGGAGCAGGTAAATGATCCAGGCCAGCTTCTGTTCAAGGGGTGGTTTCTTTCAGCTATCGGCCGTGCACGTACGAGACCAGAGCGGCAACTGTGGGGCTTGTGTGGACACGCCATCTAGCGATCCTTCTGCTAATAACACACAGGAGCTCAACTCGGTTTCAGCCTTGCGCATGGTGGTTTGCTGTTCTAACAGGTCACAGGAGGGATGCATAGGTGCGACTCGGCAGTGTAAGACTGTAGGGCGTTCTACTGCTAGCCCAAGAGCGGCAGCGACTAGTTTACACAAAATGAAGCCTCCAATCCCCACAGGTGTGTCGCTGCTGAAAAATGTTCACATGTTCTGCGGCAGACATCATAAGACCTTGTAGACCAACATGCATCCTGGCCGGCCATGTTTTCTCTGAACAGCGGGCCCGCCTAGTCACGTTTCACCGCCAGTGTTTTATTTTGTTGTTCATGGTTTGCATGCTGCTATACCAAAGACCGAGCTCTGCGATTTCGACCGAAGGACAAAAAAGGCGGCACCCCCGAGCCTGTAAGGCGAGACCCGCCGACTCCAACCCTAAACCTTTGGTCCTTTGTCCTTGTCATACATCCTCATGCAGAGTGGGTGCGTCAGTCTTACCCGAACCTCTATAAGCAGGTAAACTATAATGGTCCAACACCTACAAAAGGCAATTATTCTACATACTTGTGGGGTACACGTATCAGACCCACGCATGATGAAAACGCCTAGTGCTGCTGGACCGTCTCGCCGAATATGGGGCCGTGAAGAAGTATACACTTACGTCATTCTTCGTTGGGGCATGTATTGCGATTCTACCCGCTGCCAAAACCCTATTGAAGTGATCACGGCGATAAGATTCAAGCCTAAAGCAACGAAGCCCCACATCCCAAATCTCAGCCCTTAACCCTTAAACCCTAAACTCGAAGGCCCCACATCCTAAACTCCAAACCCCCAGTTTAACATATAATCCCTGAAGTTCCCTAAAGCAGCTCGAAACCAAACCTCAGCGTCCACCTTTGCCTCGAAGTTCGCTCGTTTAGGGTTTCGGGCTTAGGGCCGAGGGCTTACGGGTCAGGCTTGAGGGCTTTGGATTTAGGATTTGATTGAGGGTTGAGAGTACGGAAGTTGTAGTGAAGGCTTGTGGCCTTGTGTTTTTGTCTAATGGACTTGTGCATATACTCATCACAAGTCTACTCGTAACAATCATTATGTCGCTCCTGAACTCTAAGTCCTAGCCCGGCATTGAGCATTTAGGGTTTCCAAGCCGCGGCTGACTCCGGCCCGCCCCCCAATAAACTCTTCAGCTTTCGGCGAGGTCTTGACGGTTTCAGGGCGTTTATAGGGGTTCAGGGTTAAGGGTTGTTGGATGGCAAGTGAGGATGTGTAAATGTTCTCGTCACGATAGCGGAGAAGCCTTACCTATTACTATAGTGGTCCGACACACATTTCCCGCTGTGGTGCCGTGCCTACTTTTCGCTGGCGTCCGATTATTTACACAGGATTCAGCGTGCTGCACGCGCGCCGGGCCAAGATTCATTATCAATATTGAGACATGGACCACTTCTGGCTTCAACAACCTTGAATCCTGGCAGTACTTGGGGCAAGGACTTCAGGGTGTCCTTCTGCATCCTTCAAGCATACCTTGGGGACGAAATGACCCTTATAAGTAGGGTCCCTATACCCTTATACTATGAATCCCTATATGGTATCTGAACCTGAAACCCTTTTGAGGTTCATTTCGTCCTTAAGGTAGGAGGAGAAGCAGAAGTCTCGCGGTCCGAAACGTATGAGTACTTTGGGGAAAGCAGTTTCGCACCAGTCCTGGAGCCGCCAGTACTCGTGGGGAAGCGATTCCGCAGTGCTCTCGAAGTTTCGGTGTTGAGGGTTTACCTATAGTCTCCGTTGTAGTTCTTCTTTTTGGTTAACCAATTTTGTGGTTGGGATCCTGTAATATAAATTTTGGTTAACCCAAGAAAGGAATTAATCGAGACCATAATAGGTAGGGTTTAGGATTTTTAGTTCTGAGTTGTCCTTCTATATTACCTCCTGGTGGTTTCCTGCTGATCTCCTGGCGGTCGCTTCGTGGTGTTCTGGTGCTCTCTTCAGTAATGGAAGGTGATCGAACCATGGGTGAATTATTTCCTTGCTTCATAGAAGGATAAGATACCAAGAGGGTCCATATATACTACAATTATGGAATTAGGTTCCCGAAACCATAGTAGGGATGGTGGACGTTTAGGGTTTCAGGGTTTGGGGTGTAGGTTTGAGGGTTGAGTTGGATTCGAGTGTTTGGGGGATTTTGGGGTGTGGCTGCTGCACTTTAGGAGTCTTTGTGCTGTACCACGACTACGCAGACGGTAGTAGCAAACCGAAACCCTATGCCCTTACACTCCCCGTTCAGCCCTACATATTATAGCTGCATTAATCCCGCTCGAGGTTCCTATGTTGATCCCACTCCCAACACCGGAAGACCTTGGAGTTAGCCGCCCCGAAGGCATTACCGGCTGGTGTGCAGTCCGGCGAGGTCAGCGCAGCGCTTGTGTTGTGTCTGGTGTGCAGTTGCTCAGTGCAACGTGGGTACTTTTCTGAGGCACATGTGGTTTCTAGCCGTTGTTGCTGCCGTTGCTGTCAGTCTTGTGTTCTCATTTTGATCTTGTTGGTGATCATGGTGATGTCGTTGCTGCAGATGATATTGGTGTTATCTTGACATTCGAGCCTGTCCAAGTAGTAATACCATGCCTGCAGCGACAAAGCCACTACTGAGAAAATATGCGCTAAAGCCTATAAACCCCAGGCCACTACTGAGAGTGTATGTGCTGCTGTTCCTCCCCCTTAACCCCAAACCCTAAGCCCTTGTTTCAACGAAGTGCAGGGCTGGTATCTTGTCCAAAACAAAGGCGATGAGACTGGTTTATGTGACCTGCAGGCGGTTTCCGGTGTAGAGTCGTTACGCTAGGGGTCCAAAAGGACCCAATATTTAGGTACTCCCCTAAACCCTAAACTTGAGTTTAGGATTGTAGCTCTGTAGGTCATAGTGTCTGGAGCAACTTCACCCTAAACCCTAAACCCTAAACCCTAAACCCTAAACCTTGTACTCTTAGGGGTAGAGCTTGAAGTCTTCGGGCCGGGGCCTAGAGGCTTTAGGGTTCAGGGTTGAAGGCTTGTGTATTCATGGGCCAAGTAAACTAATAACTTTTTATTTAAATATACTATATATTTCGTTATAATCATCTTTCTAACAACCTTTTATTTAAAAATATTATTTGTTTCATTAAAATCACCTAATAGCTTTTTATTTAAATATGAGTCCGAAATGCCGCGGTGGACTGTCGACTCTACAGGCAGCAACAAAAATCCTTACACCCAAATGGGTAGTTTTTCTAAAATAGGGCCCCTTTTTGGTGGTCCTTTTTATAAGGGTGCCGTACTATATTGGGGTTCTAAAGTAGGGTCCCTTTTTGGGGGGTCCTTTTTATAAGCGTACTATATTGGGGACCCAAAAAGGGACCCTAATTCAGAGAACTACCCAAATGAGTCCCACTTGCTGGCAGAAACTAACCTACTGGGGTGTCCCGAGGAATTCGCACAACGGGGTGTATTAAACTTCGCACAATTGTAATGATGCAGAGCTCTCTCGCATTGCCACTCCGGCTTTGACAAGGATTCTCCTGAGCGCTACGACAAGTTGTGGCAGTTTTGCCACGACGCAGTCTGAAGCACGAAGCCCTGAACTGAACATCTCGACACCTGGATCCCAACCGTCCCAACCATCTACCTTTAGCCACCAAACTTACTGAAGGGGACTATATCATGAACTCAATACAAGGAGCTCGCGGAATGTACGTTTCTCGGATTACATGCAGACCCTAAAATTCTAAGTACATCCCAGTGGGCATGTTGTGCCTTTTTGTGGTCTTAGGTTCATTATCAAAAGCAGCCCCAATGCCAAAGTGGGAGCTTACATTTATAGACCCTAAACCTACCTGTTGCCTTGAACCGTAAGGTTTTACCTTGACCGTAGCAGATCGCTTGAGGTCAACGACCAAGTGAGAAGGGCTTATAATGTCTGGGGTTTACGGGATTATGGTTTAGACTGCGTGTTTCAGTTCGTGTTCTGCACGAAGTTTCGTGATAAGAAGGATGCTATTCAGGATACGATATTGGGGCCCCTTGGTTTCGAGTTTCTGCAACTCCCAGAACCGCTGATCCAAGCCGTACACATACGTGATAAGTCCCACTTCGGCGGCAATCCGGGCTATCGTGTGATCTCCTGATGATGTTGAAGACGTGCCTGTTCCTTCAACTAGATTAGGCTGAACCTAAACCCTAAACCGTAAACTCTGCCGCTTCAAAGGCTGCCATTCCTGTGACCATTCCTGCAGAACCCTGAGCAATTTCCCGAAGTGCCTCGCAACCAACCAATGGCCGCTTCGGCTGCGGCGGCGGGACAAGGCCACCCGAAAGGACCCACCCTTGCCAGAGAGAGTTCTCGAAACTTAGGAACCCTTTCCCTAAAGGCCCGATTCTAGAAGCCTATGAATTACCAAGATTATGCCTAAGGGCTCCTATACTACTTACCAATACTATTCCTGAGGGTTCCTTATTCAATTATAGCATAAAGGACCCCGAAGCCTTCTTCTATTTGGTAAGGACGTCAAGCCCTCAACTCCTAAAGGGCTGTTTTCGGTTCATGAGAACTAGGACCCATGGTTCCAAAGGTTTTCCGTCGAGCTTTCGGTTTAGGGTGTAGGGTAATGATTTGAATAGGGTTTAGGGCTCCTTCGTAATAAACTTTACCCTAAACCCGAAACCCTAAACCCTAAACCCTAAACAAGGAGCCCAAATAACGAATAATATAGGTATTTATTTAGGCTTCCATATCAGGGCCTTCGGGGAAGGGTCCAGCCGGCTATTGACTTGAGCACTTGTCTTCCCGCGTCTGTCCTGCGAAGAGCAGAAGCCTGTGTAGGTTACCAACTGACCTATATAAGTAGAGGCGCTATACCCCTTACACTACGAATCCCTATATGGTATATGAACCTTGAAGCCCTTTTAAGGTTCATGTCGTCCTTATGATGGGCTTAAGGACCAGATGCAGGTCTTCATCATGCTTTCGCTTTATCTGTGTTTAATCCTGTTCTTCTTTTGAGTCGGCCGTCAATGTTGCTTTCTATATAGTGAAAATGCGGAAGGGGAAGTTCTGTCTGTTGCGACTTGTGCAAGGCCCGTATCCGGTTCTGAGCCATTGTCAAAGACGATTGATGACTCCTAAACCCGAAACCGAGTGCTACAGGTCGGTAGCCAGGTTCGGACCAAAACTCGAGAATCTCTCCGCACAAAGTTCTCTCTGCTACTGTAGGTCCCGCGGGCATCGAGCCACGTCGACGCCTAGAGTGCCTTGCCCGTCGAGATTATGGTGCAGCTACTACAACTAAGGCTCCAAATCGCCATGAATCGAGACCTTTACCGTAGCTGTGGGCTCAAAATAGCCCAAAGTCGAACCCTAAACCCTAAACCCTACACTCTATGGTGCCGCGGTCTTTCGGCCCCAGTGCCTTACAGTGCCTTACAGTATATGAGTCCGTCGAGCCGGTATGCTAGTCAGGTTTGGGCTTCGGCAGAGGATGGGTTTAGGGTTTAGAGTTAAGGTTTAGGGTTTGGGGTTTAGGGTTTAAGGTTTGGGGTTTGGGTTTTAGGGTTTAGGGTTTAGAGTTAAAGTTAAGGGTTTGGGGTTTAGGGTTTAGGGTCGAGGCTTAGGCTTGCTTCCCTTTTACGATGTAGCCTGGAGTCCCGTCTGCAGAATTTGAAACGGTATACTCAGAAAGTCCCCTTCAGCCCTAAACCCCAACCCACAAACATATGCTCTAATATACCCCAGTACACTATTGCATAGTTTACAGAGGGGTCTTCAAAACAGAACTGCTGTTCAGGTTGGGTTCAACATAGGAACTGGAAACAGTCAGTAAGTAAGAAACCCAACACTATTCCTGAGGACTCCGGAGAGTTCTTTCCTTAGGACTCCGGAGAGTTTTTTGTTTAGTCTAGCCCGCGCTCCGAATTGTAAAGGCCCCTGTCTTAAACCCTTCATTGTAATAACCCTAGATATCGAAACCTTTTGGACCCCTTCCTGAGGAACCTTTCTTAAGGAACCCAATTCCACTAATAATAAGGCCCCATATCCTTTAATCATGGAATATACTTTAACTCAGATTAGGGATCCTCTCATAAATTAAGGCATACGATATTCCACAATTAGGGGGTATCGTAAGACCTGGGTACACGTTTAAGGCCAACATCTCAGACCCCAGGCCTTGCTTTCAGGGTTCCCAAACCGCGGAACTCGCAGTCCGGAGCCGGCAGTAGTGGGGATTGGTGGTGGTGGGTTTAGGGTTGAGGGTTGAGGGTTGAGGGTGGTGGTGGTGGTGGTGGTGGTGGTGGTGGTGGTGGTGGTGGTGGTGGTGGTGGTGGTGGTGGTGGTGACGCTAGTAGCAATGAAAAGTAGTAGCAGTGCAATTAAAATTAGTTTTAGTTTTAGTAGTAGTAGTAGTAGTAGTAGCAGTAGCAGTAGCAGTAGTAGTAGTAGTAGTAGTAGTAGCAGCAGTAGTAGTAGTAGTAGTAGTAGTTGTTGTTGTAGTAGTAGTTGTTGTTGTTGTTAATACGTAAAGTGAAACTAGCAATTATAGTAATGGTACTTATATTTTTTCAGTTGTTATTATTATTAGTATTACTGTTAGTATTTGATGATGATAAGAGCAATAATGTTTAAATATATTATATTATGAGTATTAACGTTATTATGTTAATATTATTGTTGATAGTATTATTATTGTTTGTAGTAGTGGTCTTATTATTTGTACAGGAGTACAAACGTCATTACTTTTAGTATTTTCCTCGTTGTTAATGTTGCCATTCTCAATGAACGTTGTCATGTTATTGTTGTTGTTATCACTAGTAGTGTTTTTTGAAAGTAGTAGTCGCGGTGGTTTCCCTCGAAATTAGTTCCGATGCGCAGCTGACCGCGATGTTTGTAGGCTTCGCATCTCGCACGCTCTATCTACTAATAGGCGCCACTGACTGCACCTGAAGCTGAGCCCTGCACTTCTCATAAGCGAGGACACTTGACAGTCTGCTTTGACCTGTGAAGCCTCCTGTAATCCACCCGAATCTACCCCAAGGCCCCATTCTCATAATGACGGCTTATGAAGGCCGCTATAGCTGGGTCTGACACTCATATCGGGCTGCACAGCAGGACTGATAACATGGCTAAGTAGGAGAGGGTTCAGGAGTCTTTAGCCGTCTAACAGACATTTCAACCCAACCAAAGTATCCCAAAACCCTAAACCCTACACCCAAAGCCCTAGACCCTAAACTCAGCTCGGTAATCGCTTCGTGTTGTGAGGAGATCATGCTTCGAGGGGCCTGCTCCAATCAGGGTTAGGGTTCAGAAGTTCGTGGTTTCGAGCTTGGGATCCCTGGAGTTCAGGTCAGGTGTGTTTAGGGTTTAGGGGTTTAGGGTTTAGGGTT